TCTTCTAGAACCCCCAGAAGAATTTCTCATTCATTTAATGTCATGCCAGGGAAGGCACAAAACTTGAGCCAATCTTCTTTCTTCCAAGTGAAATACACAGATGACTCTGACTCAAGCCCTTGCTATCTATACCACAGGAAATGTCCCAGCTGAGGTTGTAAATATTCTGTGCCAAAGTTCTAAATCGAGCTAGTAGTTGGGCCAGTTCAAGAACTTTGTTTGATTTTAAGCAAAGGAGGTTGATTTGCCCTTCCTGGGTTCATAGGTCAAGCTCTTTCAGTACAAACAAATATTTGGATTGCATGATACAGGTCTTGGCTCAAAAGAAAAAGACAAAAATGTGAATTTTAGTCCACTGTGTTTACAAAAGTGCCTATGTGAGGGGAAATGTGTACAAAAAAATATGTTATGTTAAAAAAAAAAGACAAGTTGTACTGATTTTTTTTCTCCTGTGGGTAGAAAGCAAACAAATGCAGAAAGTGGATGGAGCAGATGGATGTATGAGCCATCTGGCAAATTCCAGAAACAAACTGATCTGTCCATTCCTAATGGAGGGCTGAATAAAGTTCTCTGAGAACCCCAGCTTTCATTTCTATTTATCAGGAGAATATTGGCGGATGTGACCATGATATGAAATTTCCAAAGACAGGGAAAGTTTCAATGGCACTACGAAGTATATTTCCATAGCTCTGACAGTGAAAGAGACAAAGCGTACAAACCAGGGGAATGGAGAACACACAAAACCACTTTGAAACAAAAGTAAGTTCAACAAATAAACAATTGACAAGTATATTTGCTGAACATTTACTGCAGGGGTCTCCTGGTCTGCACAAAGAAACAAAGCCCCATCCGTGGGATGCAGGCAGCACACAAAACCACACACTCTCCAGTCCACAAAAAAAACTTTTCTCCATGGAATCAGTCTCTGGCGCCCAAAAGGTTGGGGACCTCTGATTTACTGTATTCCCCAGGGGGTTTCCAAAAGCTGTAAATACATGTAGTTCATCAAATGGTGTTTATCCTCCCTATTAATACATGTCGTCCTTGATTTATGGTGACAACTGAGCCCAAAATTTCTTTTGCTAAGGAAGTCAATTGTTAAATGAGTTTTGCTCCATATTACTTCCTTTCTTGCTACAGATGTTAAGTGAATCACTGCAGTTGTTAAGTTACTAGCATAGGTGTTAAGTGAATCTGGCTTCCCCACTGACTTTGCTTGTCAAAAGGTGATCACATGACCTCTTGCAACTATCATAAATATGGTATGTGCCAGTTACCAAGTGTCCAAATTTTAATCACATGACCACAGGGATGCTACAATGGTTGTAAGTGTGAAAAATGGTCAGAAACCAGTTTTTTCAGTTTTGTTGTAACTTTGAATGATTACTAAATGAATGGTTACTAAACGAGGACTACCTGTACCTCTGGAAGTAAAATCAAGATTTTTTTTAAATAAAAGCTGAATATTCATTATGTCATAAAGTCAAATTGAAAGCATGGATGTGCTGTCTTGCCCAATTCATCGTTCACCTTATATAACGCAGGAATTTTGCCAGTATTTTTAAAGACTGAAGAGGCCCTAAATACTCTTGAAAAGGTAACAAATAGTTTATAGGAGAAGACTTGTGACAGTCTATGATAGCCACAATTCATGGAAGTTTTTATTAAGTTGATTAGTCAGAAAAGATGCTACCAGATTCCTCCTGATTCTTTGTGGCTACAGTGCTTCTCAGTACCATCAGCCATCTTTCTAGTCAGACTACTCCATAAAATATCCTGCGTATTTCAGTTTCTGCCTTGTCCTTTGCCCACAGAGATAATGAACTAAATGTAGGGCAGAATCTGGATCATGAAGGCCACAAAAGTCTGCTCAATATTTGGCTGCAAGTATTTAAAAGAATAATGATTTATTTTAATCACAGTACATGTATCATATCTGACTAACCCTTACAACTTCCCTCTCCCAGCAAGATGAAGAATAAGCTGTCCTCTCTCAACTGCAATGCACGTTAAAGTTCAAGCATGCATCTTCCCTTCCCCTTTCCATCTTTCATGCAGATGGAACAAAGATCAGAGCTATATGGCTGTCCCCTTTAGCCTTTTCTTTATCCTATTTGAAGATGACCCCACCCTGATCTTTGAACAGAGGCCAAAACATAAATCCCTGGCATGCTCCCAACACTGGGTGAGTCTGTTAAAGTTTGGATTAAGCCCTGACTTTGAGAGGAATTTAGTTCAAATTTATTTTATTTTCATCCATAATCAGCATCAGGTAATATTTAAAACTGTGGGGCTACGAATGCGTCCAAAGATATATAGACGTTATCTGTCTGTCTATTTAGTCCTTAGAGGGGCTCGGTTAAAACCAAGAATGCTTTCTGAAAAAAAGAGAGGCATTTCCTGCCATGTTGGACATGGACAGCTTCTTGAAAATCCCAGTGTGCACTCAAACAACATAGCTGTGATTCTGCTGGAAGGCTGCATGTGTAGATGTCCAGCTGTCAGTAGACCACACAAAAATAATTTGGCAACGTAGACTGAGGCATTTTGCACCTTGCCACTAAAACTTTGATTTGTACGCATGGCAGGATTGCCTTCAGCAAACAGCAGCTATATCCTTTGATCAGGAAAAAATAAAGGAGAACAAAGTATGAAGCTTAAATGTCTCCCCAGTCCCTATCAGCCTGCTAACTAGGGCCCAAACACTATGGAAGTGTTACTTCTTCTCTCATAAAACACAGACAACCAATTCACTTGATGAATTCCAGTCAGATGTTTGTACAGTAGATATAAAGCAAGTGTTTCTCATTATTACATTGGGTCTGTCTTGAGCTAGCAATGGCTATTATTCTAGTTATGACTTTTTCTCTTAAAGCGTTTTTCACTCTCCTACCCTAAACTCGCCTCCTCCTCCTCCTCATTCTGAGAAGCAGCATTCATTCTTTTGACTCTGTGGTTGGAAGACATCTTTTTCATTATTTATACGTAACATTGCTAAGGAGCAACAGCATGCCAGCCTCAACTTGGGTGCGTGCAGTCAGAGAGGACCTGCCTGGGCAGGATGGATTCTCTATCCCATTCCAGCGGACTATTCACAACCCAGGAGGGCGGGGAGAAAGCAGTCATAGTAGCAGCTAAGTGGAAAAACTGGCTGAGCTGTGGAAGAGGAACGGGGAGGGGAAAATCCTACGCTGGAAAAAATTCTCACCTCTTCTTCTGGTCCCAAGGGCACGGAGGCAAATTAGACCAAGGAACATGGATCTTTAGTAGTTGCCCAGGAACTTCCAAGAGTTGTAAGTTAGCCTCTAGAGGGAGGCAATGCTGTAAAACAATCTAAAAGGAAGCACCTTGGGAAGTTGCACTATGGGTGTATCATCTATACATCTCTTCAGTGCATGAGAATATGATCATTAGAGCAACTACTGTATATCATATAAAACTTTTCTAGTCTAGCATTTTGACCATGCAGTGGTCCTATGCGCTCACCAACAAAGAGTCTCTTTCTGCTCCCATTTCCCATGGCTCAGAGGCACACTTTCTTTGATTTTACCAAGAATAGGGGGCCATCCTGGTGGCACACTGGTTAGAATGCAGTATTGCAGGCTAACTTGGCCCATAGCCAGGAGTTCAATCCTGACTGGCTCAAGTATGATTCAGCCTTCCATCCTTTTGAGGTTGGTAAAATGAGACCCAGACTGTTGGCAGCTACACGCTGACACACTGTAAACCACTCAGAGCGTGCTGTAAAGCCATGGTTCCCGACCTTTGTGGCTTGGTGGCCCAAGGGGGAGGAGAACTGGGCTGTGTGAGCGGTGGGCTTGTGCAAGTTGAGCTGCATGCACACATGTGAGCCCTGGCCCCCTGCTCGTGCAGCTTGATTGTGAATAGGCCATGTCTTGGGGGTTGAGGACCCCTGCTGTGAAGCACTATGGAGTGGTATAATAGGTCTAAGTGCTATTGCTATTGCTATCCTGGCTAGTAAAGATTGGAAATTTTATTCTCTAGAATTTTGTTTAAGTTTCTTTTATGGGCATTGCTACATCAGGTGAAATTCCATAAATTCTTGTGTGCTTTAGAGGTACTTTCTTTCATCTGCCTTCAATGCAACACAATTCACCTTTACATGATGATCCTAGTTTTAGTATTGTAACACAGACACATGCTTTTTCATCAGACTAGTTTCCTTCCTTCTTTCTGGCATGTCCTCCTTATTTGCTTTTTTCAAATATATGTTCCAAAGCCCTTCAGTAATCTTTTTTTTCATAGGGTACTCTTTTTTCCATCTTTCCCATTTGCAGATTTGAAATTACATTATTGGAATGTTTGAATAGGAATATTTTTCTACCACCAAAAAGGAACTCCCTGAGACTAAACCAAGCAACCTGTCTCTCCAGTCCAGTGGCTGTCCAGAGTCCCAAGTTTTTTTTTAATACACCTGTCTTGTAAAGGTGATGAAAGCAAGGGAGGAGCAGAAACTACTTTAAATTACATTTCAGAAGTGTTGTTCTGAATTTTAATATTTATTAGCAAAGCAGTACAGGAAGTCCTCGACTTACGACTACAAGTGAGCCCAATGTTTCTCTTGCTAAATGAGACAGCTATTAAGTGACCTTTCTTGTCACAGTTGTTAAGTGAATGACTGCAGTTGTTAAGTTAGGAACACATTTGTTAAGTTAATCTGGCTTCCCCAGTGACTTTGCTTGTCAGAAGATCGCAAAAGGTGATCACATGATCCTGGGACACTGCAACAGTCATAAATATGAATCAGTTGCCCAGCGTCTGAATTTTGATCACAGGACCACAGGGATGCTGCAATGGTCATAAGTGTGAAAAACTTTTTTCAGTGCCGTTGTAACTTCAAACAGTCACTAAATGAATTGTACCCCAGTCATGTTATGAGTAACTTCCCACATCTTCTATTTGTAAAATGACGTATTTTCCAACCTAGAAATTGGAAAATCCTCCAAATCCACCCCAGGGTTGCCCCCTTGGGTACTTACCCACACATCTTCCTTTGACCTCTTCAAAACCAATGACGCATGTGCACCTGCCCACTGGCACCAACCATTCCCCATTGGGACTGCAGTGCATCTTGGGTGAAACACCCGCCTCCTCTGTTGCATTCTTCAGACAGACGCCAGACACTACTGTTAGACCCTCAGGACCTGCAAGCGTCTCTGGAAAATGGGCCAATCCACTAATGGTATCTGAACAGGTCTTGTAATAAACTCTCACTGAAACCAAGGCCACACACGCTCCTGAGTTCTGGAAAGCCAGATAAAAACCACGCTGCTGTAGCTTCCCAATGGAGCATACTTCCGTGTTCAACTTCAGTGAGCCGACCTCAACATCTCGAGCTGTGAAAATGTTGTCACCTGCTACAGTGTTGATCTGGAAAGTAAAAGGATTTAAGTGAGTTGAGCCACTTGTTTAAACCAAACACAATTCCTTTCTGAAACATAGTGGTTCTGTCATAAGTAAATTAAGTATATTTGAATCCTCACCAATATTCAGAACTCCCTGCATATTTTAAGCATGTGAGGAGAGGAGTTTAATTTAGCTTTGTCTCTAAAATGCAGGTTATTTTTTAAATATTTTCCATTTTTTAAAAAATATTCAGCAGTAAAAGAGACATTCAAAAACCGCTAAATCAACATTTTCTTAGCTATTTGGAAAACAAAGAATTTGGCATAACAGATCCATCATGATAGCCTAGGCTGAGCTAGGGTATAAAACCAAGTATATTGTATTCAACAATAAAGCTCTGGCTAATACAAAAATGTAAAATTAATCCCTTAAGACTACAGCATGTTAAAAGGTTGCACAACAGTACTGAAACAGAATTAGTCACTTGACACAGAGAGCAGACATAATAAGAGAAAGCTCAGAACCAATTTAGGTTACATATAATCCAAGCAGTTTGCATTAGTTATAGGAACTCTTTCTTGCAATACTAAAAGATACTAAACTGATCTGAAAAATATACATCAGAGAATAAAATGGTTTGAACTGAATTAAAGAGACCAATGTAGAATACCATTAATAAGCGGAGAATAGATATGGGCTACACGATACTGTGTCGTGTGAAGAAATCGAGAAAGGACATAAAAGAAAACTGCTTGTCAGCCCTCGGCTGGCAGGTTCTGACAAGTACTTTTATTTAAATGATGGAAAGATTTAGAAGAAAATACCAATGGGATATCTCCAGAGGAGTTACTTGACCATACTTGTTTTGCCTGGGCTTTATTGGTCAAAATCCAGAGGCCATGATGCCCAGCTTTTACCTGCAACAAGGGCTAGAATCCAGATGTACCTCAAGAACGAGCGTTCGGGAAAACACTGGTTATGAACATAGGCACTCCCTTTCGAGAAGCTGACTAATAGCCCTTGAGAATGCGTAATGTTTAATCCCATGAAAACAAGTAAAATTAAACATAGGGCTACTGTTTTGACAGGGGGTTTGTCTGGGCAGGAGCCTAATGCTCTGACAATATACTAATACCCATTAGCCGGTCAGAGGGTGTGAGCAAACTCATTTCTGAAAAGCTGATGATGAAGAATAGAAAAGTGAAAGGCAGCTGTGGGAGCTCTTGCANGAAACACAGCTTGTAATATTTGGTTTTAATTCGGCTTTTATCGGGGTTTATTTTCTGTATTTTTGTATTTTTGTATTTTGTAATTTTTTTGTATTTTGTGTATATTATTTGTTTTTAATATGCTGTGAACCGCCCTGAGTCCTATGGGAGAAGGGCGGTATACAAATTAAAATAATAAATAAATAAATAAATAAATAAGTAAGCAAAAGTGCAGGGAGGTTCTAGTACTTTTCCCATCTGAAAGTAATTCAATATTCAACCCCATATCTAGTGATGCTTTTGAGATGTTACTGTTCCTTTAGGTGCGGGAGTTAATAATAACAAGGTAATAACAATATCAATAGCTACTTGAAAGTGGCTCCTACTGATATTTCTGAGCCACGCTTTCAAAAGTCAAGACAAAAAAAATATATGAATTATTGATTCCACTTACTTGAATTAAAATTAAATGCTGCTAAGATGATTGTTATTTATTTGTGTATTAAACTTATACACTGCCCATCTTGCCTAGAGGTGATTCTAGGCATCTGACAACCCATAAAAACAACAAGATAAAACATTAAACTAATAAATATTAACATTCAGATTGACTTAAAAATGAACAAAGATGGCAGGGAAAGAGAATAAATGATCATTCTCCACTCAGAATGCCTGCCCCATTAAAACATAAAATTTAAGAGCTGGGTTTTATAGGCCCTGGGGTGGGCTGTGGCCTCAGGTTGTGTATCTAATTCATTATAATAATGAAAACATTAATTCAATGAAACCAAAATTCATTGCTCCAATGATTCAGAAGGTTGCACAACATGTTCAATGGGGCGTAAGAGGGAGAACTTCTGAGTAAGTTTCTACTCTGAATTAGTACATTATTTTGAAACATTAAATTAAAACGCTAAACAATTCTATGAAAAGCTGCTGCCAAATTTGGATTCCTGCATGCTCTGTTCAGTTCGACACTCTGCCAGTCATATGTGCAGTAGAGTGACCCCCTCTTCATTTACAGCTAATCATATTATACACAAATACAACGATCCAAGAACTATTTTTAAAAGACTGAACATAATGCCAAGGGTCACTCAAATGACATCATATGCAAACATGCAGAGGGCAAAATATTAAAATTGTTTTAAAATGGATATGGTTACTGTATGGCAGAGATAAGACAGAAGGGATAAATCTCTCTGCTTCTAAGGCAGAGAGAAATGATCATGTGAATATTTTTAAATAACTGCTTTCATCTCTCTTTGGATGGTGTTTGAATGGGTCAGTGGAGATGGAAGGTGATCCCAGGTCTCAACTACCACATCTGAAATCTGAAAGAGTCCCACCAAGTTGATCTTCATAGAATTTCCTCAGAGTAAGAAATACTAAAGAATCAGTGATCACAATTACATAGAGAGAAATCCTTGCATGTATTTTTTTTATGCCTGAGAGATCTTATTCTTCATGAAGGGATGTAAATTGTATACATATAAGTCCATTCTCCTCTCAATACATATTCAGGTGAATATCACCATACCAGCCCAAGCTTTGATTCTCAGAATATGAAGCAACATCAAGATTCCACCCTCTAGACAGAGCAGTGTTTCTCAATCCTGTCAACTTCAAGATGGGTGGACTGCAAAACCCACAATTCTCCATGTTGGCTAGGGAATTCTGGGAGTTGAAGTCCACCCATCTGAAAGTTGTCAAGATTGGTAATAAATCTGCACTAGAGAGCAGGAAATTGAGTTATCTTTCCTTTTTCCTTCCATGCAACCTAATATTTCTCAACCATTTTTTCATTATACCACCCCCAATCAAAAGGAGGCTTTTGGGATAGTTTTTCCTTAATCAATCCCCTGAAATTTTAATATTACATATATATTGCATATCAGTACATATGTGTGTAACATATCAAACTATTTTAAATTAAGGGTTAAGAATGACTAATTTTTTAAGCTAAAAGTTCAATTAAAAATTAAAAAGCAATTAAATTTAATTTGACTTTCTAATATTTGTTGAGTTACTTTAAATATAATTTATTTATATAAATTGTAATGTATCAAACTACAGAAGCAAATTAGCAATTTATACAAATACATATAGATATAAGCATTTTAAATTATTCAAAAGTTTTACTTTTCAAGCAAAAATAAAACAACAGAAAAAAAATTGAATTCTTAAAAATTATTTTTAGCGAATTTAATTTTTAACTTAACTACTTTACAATGGAAAGTTATCTATCCAAGAATGATTCTGTGAGTTTGCTGAATCTGATTTTTTTTTTCATTAAAAGTTCTGTGTTTAGTGTGATGCTAGTAAGTTTAATGCTAATTTTCCCCCTGACAATATATCAGTTTTTTTCTTTCCTTTGTTAATATTTTATTTACTAAACTAAAACTACTTTCCATCATATAAGATGTTGAAAAACAAACAGCATCCATAAGGCAGTCAATGGTAGCCAATAGAAACATACAGGCCATCTCTTGCAATATGATTTTGAGCAGTGGTGGGATTCAAATATGAGAACAACCGGTTCTCTGTGTGGATGCCGCTTCTGGAAGTCCATTCTGGGCCTGGGCAACAACAAATTAGCTACCAGTTCTGCCGAAGTGGTGCGAACTGCTGAATCCCACCACTGAGTTTGAGACTGAGCAATCAATTGAAAGGAAGTCCTCTAATTACAGCCATTTATTTGCCATAGTAATGGTTGCTAAACAAGGCAGTCAGTAAGTAAAGACTCCTTGTACTGAATATAACTTTTAGAGCAGAACACTTTTATTCTTTATCTACAAAGATAGATCGATTAGAATTACCTCATGATACTATTTTATAAAAGATATTTTTGGCTTTGTAAAATCTGTGAAAATCTTCGACCATGGCAAAATTACAGGCCACCATCCAAATGCATAGCATTCAGCTTCTAAACCAAGTTATTGTTCATGTCAATTATATTCTTCCTGATTGAAAATTATCTGCATCAAATGTCTGAAGAACAAACTAGTGCATGCATCTATGATTGCAAACAAGTTGTTACAAGTTTCTGATCATTCTGCCATTTTTTTAAATTTCTGAATACTTTTGTATTCTGAATGAATATAAGAAATCTGGCTAATCTCCAAGCCAATCTGAAATTGAGGCGTTTCATCAGTGATGAGGAACTGAAAAACTTTGCTAAGGATCACATATATTGTACTTAAAAAATTGAACAGCTTCATATGTATAACTTTGGGTATATGCAGGGGAATTGGTTTATTCCCTTCTCACTCTTATGGATGATGTGTGTCTTTTTCAGTCTCAGGGTCTCTACCGGAGGCTGGGAGTTTGAGGGTTCAGCACAGGATCTTAGCTGTTCCCAGTCGCTCCTTGGACCAGTTGGAGCCACTCTCCCAGCTTAGGTGTCACAGCTCCAAGTGCTCCTACCATCATTGGGACCACTTTGGCCTTGACTTTCTACATCCTCTCCAGTTCCTCATTCAGGCCCTGACATTTTCTTTCACCTCTTTCCTTCTTAAGCCTGGTTGTTACCAATGTAGACATGTATTGCATTCGCCTTGTTTGTGCTAGCCTTATTTCTTCTTCCCCTGTGTTGACATTCTGGACCCTTCTTCTCCTGCTCATGAAATTGGACACAGAAGATACTATATAAAAGAATAACTACCATCTCATAAATCTTTCTGCAGTACTTGCCCTTCAATGGGGTCTTCCTGGGCTCACAGGTCCTGCTTAATGAGCAGGAAAGCCTTTGCATAATTATATGTGCCCTTTCCTAGAGTGGAAAGCTCTTCAGACAGTCATTCACTTCTGGTCTCTTTGTGGCTTGACTATTGTAATGTGTGCTGTACTTGAGTCTGCCCTTGAAGACAACTTGGAAACTTCACTTGTTCCAGAACGCAGCTGCACAGGCAATGATGGGCATGCCTCAGTATGCCCATGTAACATCCCTGCTTCACAAACTGCACTGGTTGCCAGTTTGCTTCTGGATGCAATTGAAGGTGCTGGTTGTTATCTATAAAGCCCTACATGGCATAGGGCCTAATCACCTGAGGGACCACCTGTTTCTCATAGTATCTGGCTGATTTGATCCAATGAGTTGGCATGCTGCAGATTAGGATGCTGTCTTTTGGAAGACTGGAATCACGTTTTCTTTGTTACCATACCTGCCCTCTGAAATAAAAGTCACCCTGAGATCTGGTGGTTTCCACCCTTCTGTGTGTCACAGGGCCTTGAACACCTGGCTATTCACCCAGGCTTTTGGCAAGGGTTATGGTCAGAAGCCCTTTCTGATTAGTATCTGGATGTTTTTCACTGTTCTCTGTTTTTGCCATCTTTTTCCTCCTTTATCTTTACTGTTAACATGGATTATCTTTGTAAACTGTCCCTCGTCCCTGGGAGTCAGGCAGCGTACACCTTAAATTAATAAGCAGACAAACAAAGCTTACTTTAGTGAAGAGGAGACGGCGGAACTGGATGCCCACATCTTGCTCTGATTCCATGTAGTAGAGGTTGAATGTCTCCTTGCAGCTCACCATTTCTCCTCTGAAACTCTTGCAGTCTCGAATGGTGAATTTCAGCTCCACAAAGATGCGAGAGGAGACCGCCCCTCGGAAGATCCAGTTTGTGCGGAGCCAGTGGTCAGTGTCTCCTTCAGAGAGGACGCTGCAGTCCTGGTACATATATACAGGAGTACCATTGATCATCTGCTGCCCCTCACTCCACTGCGTATGAAAATGAGAGAAGATTGAAGACATTGAACTGAGTTCTCGACAGGTTATTATCAAAGACGCATTGCAATGTTGTTGTTGGGGTGATAATGGAAATAATAATAATAAAACCTATCCCAGCTCCTTGGGAGGGATTCAACAGGGGGATAAAAATGCCAAATCCAGTCTAAACATCTGGCTCTACTGTGTGATCAATCTTAATAATAAATTGGTATCCCATCCTTTGCCCACAGGGCAGATGGATAGGTGGATAGTCGTAGATGTTTTTAAAAGACAAATATGCATATGCTGCCACTCATGAGAAAAAAATTCTTCCAGTGTTTGTTTTCACCTGTATGTTATCTGGATCCGCCTACCTTCTCTTGCTTTCTTTTTCTCTGTCTCATCAAAACTTAGCTAAGGCTGTAAATCTGGTTGTCACATGCTTTTTTGCGCTCATGTTCATATTTTTTTTATTTCAATGACACATTACGCAGCAGATCAGATTTCTCTTTTGTTTGCTTTTCTTCAAAGCAGCTGCAATAAAGGGCACCTATCTGTTTGATCAGCAAATGACTCTTGGGTGGGCCTGTTCAACCTTGTGTGCCATTTTCTTGACCTAAAATGCCCTGCTGAAGTGACTGCCACAGGGACGTGGTTATTTCAACGTGCCATGTACAGTACACACTGTGCTTTTGCTCCTCCCTATCTCATGAAGGACCAATTCTGTCTCCAATCTTCGCAGAGGCACCACTAAAAGAAATTTCCAGTACTTAATGCTATCATTTATTCAATTTATATTCTATTTTCATTTGGAGCTCAGGGTGGCATATAGAGGGCTCTCTTCTCCCTCTTTCCCCCACAAGAACCCTGTCAAATAAATTAGGCTCAGAGACAGCGTCTGGTTGAGGTCCCCTCATGAATTTCCATTGCTGAAGGTAGACTAGATCTCAGGCCCCGTTTGTCATTCAAATCCACTACATCGCTCTGGCCCTCAAAGGGCCACCTGACAATTTAATAGGGCTGAAGTTAATCTGAATCACTTCTCAAAAGTTAATTGCAAAACACGAAGGAGCATCCATCCATTGCAAACACTTTTCCAGTGCATGCCTACTCAAAAGTTAGCAAGGCCAGAATAAATTGTTACCCAGTCTCTCAGTAAACCCCACTCCTTATTAGCACTGATGATATTACCTAGTTTGGTAACATCATCAGTCTGCAAGAAAACAACCAAGCTCAGATAGCAACCAAGAACCTCTCAAATTGTTATCTGCACTGTGCAATTAGATACAAGCTTATTTAGATGGCAGTCCAAATGAGTTTTTAGTGAGGCTTATTCCCAGGGATTCCAGAGGATAATCACTTTGCAGCCTTCTTCAGTATAATTAAACAATACATAAAGAGAATTTGACAGCACAGATTGTTTCTGTAAGTTTGCAGCAGTTTCTGAACAAAATTCCTTCACCTTCACCTCTCCCTCCTCACCTTCTGAACAATGGTGCTGCATGAGATAGGAGAAGGAAAAACATACTTGTAATTTTTATCTCATGCTGTAGGCTCTAGAATTTTTTTCCCCAAAGAAAGCTAAACTCATTGAAAAATTTATTTACAGTATTTTGCTCCTAGACGCAGCTTAAGTGAATTCCTGCAGTCTTGGATAGGCAAGGAATGGCTAAGTTTTAGAAGAGAGACAGAAGCAATGCTTTCCTTTGGGGACCAGGTTTGCTCATTGGGTTTGCTCATACAAATTTGTCCGAATAAGAGCAATGATCTGGGGCTGAAATAGTGTCTCAAAATAAAATGTTATAATTATTCAACTTTTAATGGATCTCCAGACAGACTACAAATCCTACTGTTCATCTCTCCTTCTTCAGGTCTCTTCTTTTTTTATTTCTCTAATGCCTTTCTGCAATGCAGGAACTCTATATTTTTGTCTTTCAGGATCCTGCTTAAACTGATTTTTGCTGGTTCTCCAGCCATGATGGCAAGTCCGAGTTACATAAAATGAAGTGATAGCTACAACTGCAGCCAAGCGTTCCCTCAGTGTATACAGTGCTTTTAATCTGAGGACATTGATGCACATATATATGTATGCACACATGTCTACCTTTAACAGCTCTTCTATAGACTCAGATATAACATTGATGTTTGGAAGGAAATTCCATAGACATCTCTGTTCATAAAGTAAAAAGTCCATAAAGGGTTTCCAGTCTTCTATAAAAGTAGTTCCCCCCCCTCCCTAATCAGACAAGTCAATTTAGCCCTGTATTGAGGTTACACCACTTTACATGACACTCTGTAGTCTTTATATAAATGCATGTCAGGGAAAAATAGGCTTAAACCTTGCTTTCTAGCATATCCAGTTTTTATGGAGACCATTGTTTTATTGTATTATTGTGAGCTCCTTGTAGATTCAGATTTGAATTATATCTTTAGTAAGCTCTGAAACGCAGTTGGAAGGTATGATCATAAGAGGAAAAATATTATGTGGGACATTTATCAACACAGGAATTTTGAAGAATTATTTTATGGATAGCATCAAAGAAAATTATTTCATCTGAAGTGCTTCTGTACAACCTGGAAATATGACCCTGGGACCATCTACAGGAGCAAAATCTTTTTTCCCTATACCTCACATGCTAATTTGGGCAGGCTGCAAAAGTGATTTGAAAGCATTGCTTTGGACCTGGGAAGAGTGTGATTGCTCACTGCTGCTCATTAAAGCAGGCCATCTTTTAACAGGCATTTCCATGAGCCTGAAAAAGAAATGCTGCTGCTTTCATGAGAAGCCCAAAGTCTGTCTTCCAAATCTGTTTCAAAGGGAGAATAGCCATAGTCTATATGATCTGACAATTTGAGCTAAACTCTTGTGAATAGCATACAAAATAATATATCTTCCCCTTCTGATATACAGGATTGCTAGTCATCCAGCCTGCCCTGAGGGAATTAATAAGCTCAAAATAACCAGTTTTCCCTTAACCCAGTCAATCATAAGTTCCTGAACAAAGTTCAGAAAACATAAGTTCATATCAGGATATGCAAAAGAGTATGTGTTATGTCAGTGTGTCTGCAAATGTGTGGATATTACAGTATGTACGGTATATGAGTGAGACGCAGCAAAAAGAAAATAATCTTTAAATATTAAATATACAATGTACAAATACAAACAATATGCAATATACTATTAAATATACAAAGCAGTTTGCTAGCGGCCTTTGCCCTGTGGAGACCAATAGCATTGTTGAATAAATAAAACAAAGCAAATAAATACACACACAAACAATTGTCTTTATCTTATTACTTGTCAGTGTATCTGGGTATCAAAGGAACATACTGATTAGTACTTAAAGTACTATTAAATCAATGGATTAAGGTTAATTTAGTACTGTAATTCTGTCTTGGGAAGGGGTGGCACAGACTGGTTGTTATTGCTAATGGCAGCCGCCCATGTGGGAGAAAAATGTTCCTTAAATGCCATTGTAGGAGGAAAAGGCACTGTAATAATATCACAACAGATTTATTTCCTGGGTACTAACTTATGAAAATTGGCTTCCATTAGAGACAAACAAGAATGTTTTTTTTAAAAATTCAAATTAGAATTTCTAGGCCATTATCCTTGACAGAATGAGGAAATAGGATTCTGGGGCTTATTGACATTGTAAAATTATATTGGATGTTATAAAACAATCATGGTATCTTCAAGGCATCTTTTTCGGATAGGTAAAGATACTTCTGTTAAATACCACTGGATACTCTCAAATAAATAAAACAGAAATATATGTCTGCTATGTATTCTTTGTAATAATACCTCAACACTCTTTGGAAGACTCCCCTTTGACATAGATTTTTTTTCCCTCAGAATGTTCCTCCCTTTCCCGCCCTCATGGGTATATTGCCCATCAGAAAGTTTGTAATTTTGACTTGGGTTCAAATATTTTTTTAAAAAAAATTACAACTTTTTTTTTAATAAAAAACCAGGTAGTTTTAAAAGGTCATCTACATGCAGGGACAGAAATCACTTTATTCTGCTCAGTGTGTGTCTGTGTGTGCATGCACTGTGGTGCTACTTGCTATGAAAAATAAGAAATAAATTGTGCGGATTGGCCACAGCTAGTTTCAGGCATTACAACCTGTGGCTTTTCTTCTTCATTGACCCTCAAATGTGTCTTTGAGAGAGAGAGATGCTGTATTCTCTGGAGGACCCAAAAACAAATTTTATGTTTCATAGTTAATTGTTTCTGTTTCTGCTTCATGGCTTGTTCTTTTTAACTGTTTTAATTTGGCTTAAATGGCTTTATTGTTACTGTTTGCTTATTTACTTGTGTGTGTTTTGCTTTATTCTTATTTTTTCACTGAGTGAGCCACCCAGTATCACAAATGTGAACTGAGAGGCTATATACCATAAATGGAACAAATAAATATGTAAATACAGTGATAATCAATATGGTTTCAGGTCAAGGGAAGAGGTTTTGATTGGCGACATAACAAATACAACAGCAGGAAGATTTGTTATTCCTCTGAATCCCAAACTCTTGGCTAAACTTTATCCTAGAGAAAGACATTTCACCCTTTCCTAGCTTAGGGAAATACCATCAGATTGGTTAATGCCAGGATGCCCAACAAGGTAGGGACAGTAATCTGGCAACTGAGCACACCTTTTCCATGTAGATTGCGTCAGATTAAATTCCTGACATTTCCAGGTAGAATATTTTAGCAAGGAGGCAGGTAAATATTTTTGCTAGACGTCCTGCATTTACAAAGTGCAAGGTTAAGTAAGCAATGTTTGTAGAAAAAAAAATGTAAAGTCGAATTTATTTAAAGTACTCTTTATTATTTAATACCAATCAGCAGAATCTATTCAAAGGCCATAGAACAAGAAAATAAAAATTATGTCAAAAGTACCGGGAAAGTAATATGTATTTTCTGGGAATTGAAATACAACAGACATTGGGTAGGTACTAAATAGCATAATTCCACAAAGAAAGTGAAACATGTAGAGAGGTGGGAATTTGATT